TTATTTTTCTTTCCGAAGGGTTTAATAAGCCAAGGCAGCAGAGATTTTTGTCTTTTTGGTTGTTTTGTTTTCGAAAGGTCTCTTGCAGCCCAGATTGACCTTGAACTTCTGTTGTTATTCCCTCCATCTCCCAAGCACTGGGATTCAAGGTGTGTACCTGACTTGAGATTTTTCTTTTGTTTATTAAATTTCCAGTACCTGCCACATTAGTATTGTAATTATTTGAATGACTGAAAAAGATCAGGGTTTGTGTATGCAGCTCAGTAGTAGAATACTTGCCAGGCATGCACAAGGCCTTTGGTTTGGTCCCCACTGCTTCAAAAATTAAAACTTAGTAAATGCAGATGTATAATAAATAAGAGCTATGATAAGTCAATGTGTTAAGAATTCTGCAGGTAATAGTATTTAAAATTAATTTCACAGGGCTATAGCTCAGTGACACAGTTCTTGCCTGGTATGAACAGAGCCCTGTGCTTGATCCTCAATAGCACATAAATTTTTTAAAAAAAAGAAAAGTCAATTGCTCTCAATCCTTACAATAACATCATAAGATAGAGATTTAAATTCAGGTTTATGCATGTTCATGGTAAATGATACTTTAACTTTTATTCTGGGTTCATATGGCATTCTATATTTTCAAAAGTATGCACACAAATTTTATGTTAATTGGTGAAAATTTATGTACACCACTAACACTATGCCTGTAACATCATCAGCTTTACATAAAATATGCTCTCAACCTCTAGAGAGCCAGCATAATCAAAACATAAAAATAAAGGGAATTAATCTAACAAGTTTTCTCTGTCCTTTTTGGTTAAGATTACTGAAAATCAACACCAAAAATTAGGGTATGGCCAGATTAATGAAGGACAATTTTCTACTATATTTATGTAGCAACCATAAGTTTGTTTGGATATTTTTCATAACAGAATTTATTGAAAATACTGAGAATGTTGAGCCATTTTACTTTTAACAATGAAGTCTTTTTTTTAGAGCAACAAAGTTGCTCAATTCTTTTTCTTTTAAATTTATTATTTTTATTTTTTATGTGTATGCGTGTATTGCCTGCATGTAGGTAAGTGCACCCATGTCGTGCAACGCTCATGGAGGTCAGAAGCGGCTGTCAGATCCCTGGAACTGGAATTACGGACAATTGTTAGCTGCCATGTGAGTGCTGGGATTCGAACCCGGGTCTTCTGCAAGAACAACCAGTGTTCTTAACTGCTGAGCCATCTCTCCAGCCCCAACAATGAAGCCTTAATGAGAAGAAAATGTTCAAAAATGGCCCACTGAAAAGGAAACTCATATTAATTCATACCCTAAACTGAGATACTTAAGATAATGCACCAGCACAATAAGCATGGACTGAAACTATCTTAGGTAAATCAGAACCTATAGTCAATTTTTTATCACAGGCTTTAGAAGTTTCTTGACTGCTCTGCCCCTTAAGGTTCATATCATTTCTTCTTAAAAGGTAGGCAAACTGTATGTATTTACTCATTCTAGTATTAATGAACATCTGCTTCCTTTCTGGTTTGTTTGCTATTATGAATTCTTTTTTTTCCCCCACAAACTGTGGGAGACGTCTGTCTTTATTAATAAATATTATGAAGATACATTGAAAGTTGTAAACTGCTTTCAGCAATGGTTAGATATTAACTGAATTATTTTTTTCCCCCTTAGTAAAAGCAGATATTTTAACATATATTATGGAACAAGCTCTACTGAATTATTTACATGTATTAATTCATTATACAATCACTCTGAAAGATAATAGCAGGCTAGACATAGGACTTGTAGAATCTACAATTCTGTAAAGATTTTGTTGGAAAAGAGAAGTTGGTCCTAAAATATTGGTTCACATATCTTGAGAATACTTTTCTGATAAGAGCCTCTCTTTTTTTTTTTCCTCCCTCCCTCCCTCCCTTCCTTCCTTTTCATGTACTATTTTTTTTTAAATGGGGCTTTTGGCTACTCTAACAGTCCCCACTCTGAAGAGGTAACCCTAAAATCTTTTAAGGATTAGATAAAAGCTCCCAAATACTTTCACAATTTTTGGCCTTTGGAACAGAGTATGTTGCTAAGAGGCCCAAGGACATTGTGAGTTTTAGCCAAGAAACTGGCTAGTTTTCTTTGGGGTCTTTTTGCCCCAGGATGCAGGCTGCTCTGGCTTCTTCGATGCTGAACAGGGACGCAGGGTGGGGCAACTGGAGCACCCCTTCAGTGGGTCTATCCAAAAGACTCCCAAATTGCCTGTTATCACCACGTGGAGGCGGGATCTGGGTGCTCTCAGGCTGTCCCCTTTGTTCTCAGCCCCTATGCAAGAGGGAGGCCAGAACCCGGCACTCTGTGGTGGTATGCTGAGAGCACAGCCACTACACCAGTGGAAGTCAGAACCCACCCTCTCAGGCTGTCTCTATTATGAATATTCTTGAATATATCTTCTGGAATACAAGTTTCTTTAAGGTATTTATTTTAAATATGTTTTTTTTTCAAGGTTTATTTTTACTTTATGTGCATAAGTGTTTTTCCTACATGTATGTATGTGTACCATGTGTGTACCAGTGCCAGAAGGGGCCAGAATAGAGTCAGATCTCGTGGAACTGAAGTTGTGGGCACAATGCAGGTGCTGGGAGAGAATCCAGGTCCTCTGTAAGAGCAGCTAGAATGCTAAACTGCTGAGCTCTTTAAAGTATTTAACTGGAGTGAGCATCTCTCTAGCGTAAAATGTATATTCAATTTTAATACAATCAATTTTAATGTGGCAAGTGAATTATCCATCTATATTTTCTTTTAGTTTAATATTTTTCATTTATATAATTTACCTCTATCATGTGTTCTGATTGTGTTTAATGTGTTAAATGTGGTGACAAAATAATATACAGATATTTATCAACCAAAAATTTGTGGGCCCTTAGATTTACTGTCTCAATTTCTACTGGTCAAAGGTTCTCACACGCCTCCTTTTTCTTTGTTCTATCATTTTCTTTTTCTCTATTTGGATGGTTGGCTTTTTTTTGAGACAGTCTCACTATGTAGCCCTGACCAGGCTGGCCTCAAATTCACAGAGATATACCTGCCTCAGTCTCCTGTGTGCTGGGATTAAAGGAGTATACCACCACACCTGGCTTTTCAGGTTTTTTTTTAAAGCTGTTAAAAGCTGGAAATCATGAAATATCTTCTCTCCGTTGATTCCATGAAAGACATTTAGAAAAATCATAATCTTCCTCCACAGAGGAATAACAGGCACAATTTCTCATTGTTTAAATTTTTTTTAATTTTTATGTGTATGTAGGTAAGTGCACCCGTGTCGTGCAGTGCCCATGGAGGTCAGAAGAGGCTGCCGGATTCCCCAGGACTGGAATTACGGACAGTTGTCAGCTGCCATATGGATGTTGTGATTCAAACCCAACATCTGCAAGAATAGTCAGTGTTCTTAACTGCTGAACCATCTCTCCAGCCCCTGTTTAAATTTAGATAGAAATGATTCACAAAGCTTCTCTTAAGCTAAAATTTACTGTCCAACTTGAAATCTAATTTCAGGAGAATGATTTGCACACTTGTACTAGTGAAAATGTTGTGTGCAAGACATCCACAGGATCAAGATAGACACGTCATATGTTTTTTTTTTTTTAAAGGCAGTCTCTCACTTAAGTTATTTGAAGCACTGTTCACTATTTCTATTTTATTCCACAGCATATAATTCTTTGTGGGTCCTGGAGTTTCTTTTTTTATTATATCTGAAAGCACAGCCAAAACTAGCCCCATTAATTTCTTTCTACAAACATTTATTTATTTACTCATTTTTGAGGCAGGGTCTTTTTTAGCCCTGGCTGGCCTTGAAGTCACTACTAGTTAAGGATGACCTTGAACTTCTGATTCTCTTGCCCCTACTTCCCAAGTGCACACACCAACATTATCGATAGCATATACGACACACAAAACTACTAAAAAGGATAGTAAAAGTCATAAACAGTGCTAGGGGGGACGTGCATGTCAATCATCCTCTACTTTTAGTTTTTAGGGAAAGGTCTCTCAGTGAACCTGAAGCTCAGGAACTTGGCTAAACTGGCTGGCCAATGAGTTTCAAGAGATTCACTATTTCCGCCTGGCCCAGAAGTGAGGTTACAGGTATGTGCATCTTTTACATCTTCTCTTGATCCAGACTCAGGACCGCATGTTTGCACAGCAGGCATTTTGCCACTGAGCCATGTCCCCAGGCAAGCATTTACTATTTTTTTATAGATATTATTTTGTTTTTATTTTATGTGTTTTGCCTTCATGTGTCTAAGTGTATCATGTGTGTGTAATGTCTGAGGAGGCTAGAAGAGGGCATCAGATCCCTGAAACTGGAGTTAAGGACAGTAGTTAGTCACTGCGTGGGTGCTAGGAACTGAACCTGGGTCCTTTGGAAGAGCAGTGAGTGCTCTTAACTACTAAGCCATTTCTTCAGTTCCATTTCTACTATTCTTAAAGGGCAGACAACTGTTTTTTCCTAGTTCTGACAACTGAACATAATAAATATACTACCTGTAAGTTGTTGTTAACATAAATAATCAAATATATAAGCAACATTCTTTTATTTTAAATGTTGGGAAATGATATTTGTAATTCAGAACTGGAGGAAAATGAAGAATTATTTAACTGCTATAATGCAGTAAATCTTGAAACCTGAAAATATTTACATGTATGAACATGAATCTATCTTTCTGTGGCATAAAATGTCTTTATAGCAACAATAACAACAAAAAACCTCAAAACAAATGACACTGAGTTATTCCAAAAAAACCTGCTCACAGATGGAAAATTTCAATCGTGTTCTTTACCATCATACTGTTTTTCTCACAAAATGCAAGTAAAAATTTAATGAAAATATGGTATAAAAAATATTAGGATTTCTAACATTTAACACCAAATACAGAATATACCAGTATATGTAAGTTATTAATTTATCCCCAGAGAAAAGCAAATTTTAAAAAGTCAAACTATTATGTCCTTACCCACAGTCTGGAGCCGGACACCACCTGCAATCAGGATCTGCAACAAGCCACCTTCTAAGCATAAATTCTTCATATTTTTCCATTAAGATATCATCACTTAATATCAAGCGAATGTCATGGGGATTAAACCGTTCAGTACATTCTGGACAACTGATATTAACTCTACTTTCAGAGATTTCTATCCTCAGGTACTGTCGTAAGCAATCCACACAAGACCTATGATGGCATGTCATTATATCGGGAAATCTGTCTTTAGAATGCCGCAAAAGGCACAAAGGGCATTCTATGGAGTCTCCAATCTGTTTGCTGATGGAAGCCAACCCATTGTCAGAAGAGGTATTTGTAGAGAAAATGGAGTTCTTATCAGTACACATTTCAGAATGTATGCTTTCGATGCTTGCAATTCCATCCACCCCGCCATTTAGCTCCCTTGATTTACGCTTGTTATCCTTTTTCCTCCGGAATAGAGAGCCTATTGAAATTCTTCTCTTCTTGGGTGCTTTTTTAACTGAAGGCAAGCTCACAGATGAAGCAGAAGACTGAAGATCTCTATCTGAACCCATTTGCCGATGTAAACTCATGTCTAAAATGCTCATTAGAATTGAGTCAGGGTCAGTGTTCATACACAGCCCTTCATTATACCTAAAAATATAAAACTTTCTTGTTCTTGCATTCAGATTAAGTCATGATGTAAGAAAATCCTATTGGCTCCTTCAGAGAATCTTGAAAAAGCTCAATTTACAGTAGACTGTTGTCGTAGATATCCTTAAAAAAAAAAAAAATCATTTAATTGTATTTTTCTCTTTTTAGTAATTTATAAATTCTCTATGAAACTTTAAACAAGAAATATTCTATACCATTAGTTAAAAAAATAGAGCTGATAGTCTACAGCAAAATATGCAATGAATGCTCAACCAGCAACAAGGGCATTATTTAATTTTAAAAGATTTTCTATATTTGAGCTAAGACAACCATTATTAAAGTTTTAGATAAATCTTGATGATTATCACTGACTTGAATGATTCCTCACTGCCTTTAAATTTGTTTTTAATTAGCAATAAAATGTACATACAAACACAAAAGGATAAGAATAGCTTATATAATACCGAAGAAAAATGCCTTGGGTAGAGGGTCTCTTACACTGTCAACAATGACTTTCTATAAAATTACAGTAATTATGGCAATGTGCTATGTCATTAGGATAGTGACAGACCAATGGAACAGAATACAGTCTTTTGTTGCTTGTTTTTTTGAGACAAGGTCTTACTATGTAGCCCTGGCTGGCATGGGAACTTCCTACTATGTACACCAGGCTGGCCTCGAATTCAAGAGATCTGCTAGCCTCTGCCTTTCCCAAGTGCAATAATACAGTCTTTTTTTAAAGTCCCATTATTATTATATTTGATTTTTAATAAAAATGACACTGTTGAGCACTAGAAATTGTCTTTTTTAAAAAGTACTGTCAGGGCCAGAGAGATGGCTGTGGGCCCAGATTCAGTTCCCAGTACCTAAATGGCAGCTCACAACCAGTTCCAGGGGAGCCCATGCCCTTTTCTGACTTCTATAGGCACTGCATGACATGGATGCACTTACATGGAGGCAAAACACTCATACATATAAAAATAAGTAAAAGTGCTAATCATAAAATAAAACATTGCTAAATGACAAAAACAAATTTAAGAGTTTGGGGAAAAAACATGCCACATATAGCAAATAAATGAACAATACTAAGAATAAAGAATACTTACAAGTATAAAAAAATAGTCAATGCAACAGAAAAAATGGACAGAGGACACTATGAGGTCTTTACAAAAGGATATTTTAAAATGCTGTCATTAGTCATCAAGGAAAAAAATTACACTGTGCTCTAACACCCAATTGATGCCTAAAATTAAGAGACTTATTTCCAGTTGTTGAGGCACAGAAACGTTCATACTGCTAGTGAGAAAATAAAATGGCACAGCTGCTTCAGAAAGTGCTTAACAATACCTACCAAACTAGAACATATTGATACCCAACATTTTTATTCCCCAATAAAAGTACACAAGAGAATTTATATATATCAAAAGACATATCTAACAATGTTCACAACAGTATTAGTTACAATAGTCAAAACATTAGAAACAGTTCACATTTCCATCAACAATAGAACAGATAAATAAGCTGTGGTATATTCATGCTTTATATATCATAAAGTGATGAAAATATTCTTATGAAACTAAAGAGCACTACACAAAACAAGGGGTGGGGGGTGAATATTAGAAATGTAGCTTGGCACAGTGGCTCACACATGTAACCCTAGCACCCAGGAAACAAGGGCAGGAGAAATGGCACAAATTCAAGGCCAGTCTAATCTGCATAGTGAGGTCCAGGCTACACAAGGCTACACAGTAGTGCCTCAAAAAGCATCAGCAGGGGCCGGGCATGGTGGCACATGCCTTTAATCCCAGCACTTGGGAGGCAGATCTCTGTGAGTTCAAGGCCAGCCTGGTCTACATAGTAAGTTCAAGGCCAGCCTGGTCTACATAGTGAGTTTCAGGACAGCTGGGGCTACAGAAAGACCCTGTCTCAAAAAGACAAAAAAAAAATTTAAAAAGCAACAGCAACTGGGCTGGCAAGACAGCTCAGTTGGCAAGGGTGCTTGCAGCCAAACCTGAGACCTGAGTTCAATCTCCAGAACCCACACAGTGGAAGGAGTGACACACCTCTTGCAAGTTGTCCTCTGAAGTACTTCCATGCACATCACACCCAGAATAAATAAAATTTTTTAAAAAAATTTAAAGTTATTTATTTAAGACAAGTCTTGAGGCTGGTGAGATGGCTCACCGGTTAAGAGCACTGATTGCTCTTGTGAAGGACCGAGGCTCAATTTCCAGCACCCACATGGCGGCTATGAACCGTCCTTAACTCCAGTTCCAGGGGAATCCGATGCTCTCTTCTGACCTCTGCAGCACTGCATGACACGGTAACACAGTGCACTCACGTACATGCAGGCAATACACATAAAGTAAAAATAATAAAATATTTTTTTTAAAAGACAAGTCTTGCTATGCAGCCCAGGCTGGCCTGGAATTCAAGTCTCTTGCCTTAGCTTCTTGAGCACTGGGATTATAGGCCTGTGCTATCACATTTGGCTCAAAATGGAAAAGTTTTATATAGTTTAAAACACACACACACACAACTAGGCCAGGCGTGGTGGCACACATCTTTAATACGAGCGCTTGGGAGGCAGAGACAGGCAGATCTCTGTGAGTTCCAGGCCAGCTGGGGCTACAGGGAGACCCTGTCTCAAAAAATAACCAATAATTAAAAAAAAAAAAACAACAACAACAACACACACACACAACTAAAGTAAAAAGACATGATAAACTAGGGAAAATGTTTAGCACAGACGAAGCTTTCTTACTATATAAGATTTTATACAATTTTATAAGAAAACAATGTAAAATCTAAGAGCCAAATAAGCAGAGACTCAAGCATAAACTAAAGAAACACAAATCCAAACATTAGATACTGTTTCTGATCTTATGAGATACTGACAAAAGTGTGAAGGGTTGATGACTGACTAATGGAGTGAAAGAAGTCTCCCATCTTGCTAGGAAAAATGTAAGTCAGAACAATTTGGGGGTAGCCAATTTATATTTTTTATTAAACTTTAGAAATGTTCCTTAACCCAGTGATCCTACATATGTATCCTTCAAATGAGGCAATGATACATACTTCACAAACAAATCAATTCTAATATAGTTCTCAGAAGAAAAAAAGCAGTTTAAGATGTACTTAATTTCAGTTTTTATTATTATTTATTCTTTTTGGAACTCACTAAACTTCTAGGATTTGAAATTAATTCAAACTGAATAAGGAAACTATTACTTTAGTTTTTTAACTCTCTTTAATACCCCCCTCTCTCCCTACAGAACTGTAATTTATCTGTATGTTAGTGATTTAAGTTTATCCAAAGTAGCTACTTGCTGTGTTCATTTTCTGTGATCTTTTTTTCTCCATTCTCGAGCTTGGCAATTTTTTGTTGTTCTATCTTCAATCTCACCCACCTTTCCTTGTGCCAACCTCCACCTGCTGTTAAACCCACCCATCCAATAAAAAAATTCCATTTTATAATTTGTAATTTTTATTGTTTCTGCTTCTTTATAAAATTATTTGTGAGTGGTGTATGCTCATGTTTGTATGAGTGTATAGGTGTGCCTGAACAGAATGCCAGAGGAAGCTGTAGACAAGGCTTCTCACTGAACTGGAACACGGCTGGTGTCCAGCAAGTTCCAATGATCTGTTTTCATCCCTCCACAGTGTTGGAGTTGTGTGTGCAGCTAAGCCCTGCATTTTACATGGGTTCTGGAGATCTGAACTCAGATCGATCCTCATGCTTGTGTAGCCCTATAGTTTCTATTTCTTCACTGAAATTATCCTCTGATTAGTCATTATTTCTTCCTTTATATTCTTAAAGTATTAGTGGTGCTTTAAAAGTCTGTTTGATAATTCTGCTATTTGGTGAGTGTGGGTTTCTTTATGGTGAGCTATATTTTCCTACTTTTTCATGTCTAGTAAGTGCTTATTATGAGTTGGATATTATGGATGATATGTTGTAGATACTCTAGAGGCTCTTGTTTTCTGATTTTTGTTACATCTGGTAGGTCAATCACTAATAAACTTATGGAGGCTTGGCTTTATGCCATAGGCCCAAGTATTTAACACTTGGTCAGTTGGTGCATTGTTTGGGGAGGGTCATGGATCTTTAGGAGGTACAGCCTTGCTGGAGGAAGCATATCACTGGGGTCAGGCTTTAAGTGTTCATAGCCTTGCTACTTCCAGCTTGCTCTTTCTACTTCCTGTCCGTGCTTGAAAATGTGAGCACTGGGGCTGAAGAGATGGCTCACTGGTTAGGAGGACTGGTTGCTCTTGCACAGGACTTGGATTTGATCCCTAACACCTACATGGTGACTAGCAACTGTCTGTAACTCCAGTTCCAGGGGAACCAACATCCTCTTCTGGCCTCCACTGGCTTTGCACAGCATGGGTGCACTTACATACATGCAGGCAAGACACTCATACACATAAAATAAGTAAACAAACAAAAAGAAAATGTGAGCATACTGCTTTCTGCTCCGATTACCTCTACCATGATGGACTCTCATCCCTCTGGAACTGTAAGCCTAATAAACTTCCTTTACCTTAGTCATGGTGGGTTTTTTGTTTTTGTTTTTTAAATTTTTTTAAAATTTAATAACCACATGATTAGAAGAAGCATTTCATTACAGCTTTAATATATTCAGTAACACATTCCAGAGCAAGGATTATCACAGCAACAGAGAATAACTAATACTGAGGCTCGTACCAGTAGTGCTGTTGCTGTGAAGAACCTAATCATGTTATTTTTTGGAGGCATATGAAAGACGTTGAAGTTTGGACTAGAAAACTGGTTGAATGCTGTAAGCAGGGCCATTCCAGGAGGACCCTGGAAGAAAAGTAGTGCTGACAGCAATGTAGTTCCAAAAGGAAGCCAGGACTTAGCAACTGAGCTAGGGGTCATTTCTGTGGCATTTTGATAAAGAATCTGGCTGCCTTCAGTTTAAGGACTGAGAACATCTCTGAGGTTGAATTAGAAAGTAATGGTCTAACATTGAATCTGTGGCTTGGTTATTACTGATAAATTTATTCAGGTATATAACGAAAATGAGCGAGGGCAGAAAGAAGTACAAAATATACAGTTTAGAGAGAAAAGAGAGCACTAGGAAGCTAGTGAGGCTGTA